AAATGTTTTAAAGAGCATGCGAGAGTTAGGCAAATTGTTAATTTTGTTGTGATAGTATGTCCTTTTAGCAGTGGAGACATTAGCAGAGAATGAAGAGAGGAGTGATCGATATACATTAAGGTCAGTAGGATTTTGTGATTTGCGCCATACTCTTTCTGCAGCTCCGAGCTTAGAACGATGCTCATGGAGGACATCAGATATCCAAGGGGCAGAAGAGGTGGTACAAGCTTGACTGGAAGACAAAGGGCAGACAGTGTCTAAACAAGACGTAAGAGGGGAGCAGAAAGTATCAGCAGCACTGTTAACATCAAGAGATGATAACTGTTCAGGGGAAGGAAGCAAAGATGAAACCATAGCAGATAGCCGGGAGGGTGAGAGTGAGCATAGGTTACGTCGAAAAGTGACATGTGTAGGGGTATGTGTTGTGTCAGGAACCATGTTGAGGTTAAGAGTGAGGAGGAAGTGATCCGAGGTGTGCAGTGGAGTAACGAGCACATGATCAGTGAAGCAGTGTCGTGTGTAAATAAGGTCAGGTTGGTTGCCTGATTTGTGAGTAACCGTAGTTAATACTCGCTTGAGATCAAAAGAAGCAAGCAGAGTGTGGAAGTCTGCAGCCTGAGGTTTATCTAGGTGGATGTTGAAGTCTCCAAGCATAACTAGGGGAGTACCATCCTCAGGAAAGTTTGAGAGCAGCACATTTAATTCTTCCACGAAGTTACCTAGTGGTCCTGGTTGTCGATAAACAACTAAAAAATGGATTTTAAGAGGGTGGGTAATAGTGGCTGAATGTGATTCAAAGGAGCTGTTGATACTCAGAGATGGTAAAGGATTACATTTCCAATCATTAGAGATAAGCAGACCAGTACCTCCACCTCTTCCAGTCAGACGGGGGGAGTGGGAAAAAGATAAATTATTGGAGAGTGCTGCAGGTGTAGCATTGTCCTCTGGTTTGATCCACGTCTCTGTCAGGGCCATGAGGTTTAGTCTTGAATGACTTGTAATAGAAGTAATAAAATCTGCTTTGTTTACAGCAGACTGCCAATTCCAGAGACCAATAGAAAAAGAAAATAGTGTATTAATAGACATAGCTATTGCGCTGCCTACAGTGTGTGATGCATGGTTTGCGCGTGGTAGTGATAGTAGGGATCTGGAAACACATAGTAAGAATTGGTTATAAAAACTGAAAACAGAAGGGGAACAAATAGTAGGAAAGAGAACAATTCAGAAGCGATACTTATGTCCCTGCTCGGTGGAGTCGATGGTCTTTACACTCTTCGGTCTTCACACGAGGGCTGCCGCGGTATACTAAGCTTTTTATATTCGTCTAACAAAACTCAAATTCAGCTGGACACACTTTCCTGTTTATCACAACAAATGGCCAAGCAAAGCACACAACACTGACAAGGTACGCGATACAGTACGAGACCAAACGTGATTTCAGCACGTCTACACACAGATATATATATAGTATATATATATAATATAGTAGTCTTATATTATAGTCTTATAAGCTAATTGTTGTAAGATGTGATGCTGTGTACATACATTTGCATGGAAATTCTTGAACAGAACTTTCCTATTTAAAACTTGACTCTTCTGTAGTTACATCGTGTACTAAGACTGACGGAAAATGAAAAGTTGTGATTTTCTAGGCCGATATGGCTAGCAACTATACTCTCATTCCGGCGTAATAATCAAGGAACTTTGCTGCCGTACCATGGGTGCAGCAGGCGCAATGATATTATGCAGCGCCTGAAAATAAGCTTATTGGACGTTACCTAGCTGAGACTATTTTCAGGCGCTGCGTAATATCATTGAAAATAAAGCAAGGCAAATGGTTAGATGTTGTCATGCAGACGAAAGCAGGCCCTTAACACGGGGAATACCACCAGCTGAACTGATCTGTCGGTGAATGAGTAATCCGAGAGCAGCTCGGCAGATATTAATCCACACAAGGCAGGATGCAAACCCAGGAACAAGAGAAACTCTGGTGAAAACAACGACAGGGCATGAGCACACAACGATCTGGCAACAAGCACAGCAGATAAAGGTAGTGGTAATGCACTAAGTTACAGGTGCAGCCGCTCTGCAGCAACTATGGTCTTAAGTTCCGTCGTTACCAATAGAGTTCAATGGAACTAACGACCATAGCTAGCTAACGATGCTTTTGAGAAACGCACCCCTGATTAGCTGGCCCGCACCGTGTTTGCTGGACAACGCTGACAAGCAATCAGACCGGAGACCACAACACACAGACCCATAAACCGTGACAATCTTGGTTTTGATCAATAGCATGTTCATATAAATATTATAGCCGAGTTCAACAACATGATTTATGTTGAATTAGGGCTTTAACTCATTACACATAATACAAATGTTTATTTTCAGAGTTCATTTATTACACTCTAGTCAGTTAAATCTATTGAATAATTTTATATTATTAAGTTTGTTATTTTGTTAATTATATCAGCAGTAATTTACTGGTACTTGTGTTTGAAATGTATTATAACAATAAAATGGCCATGTCTGTACAAAACCAAACATATTTTTATAATTCAGCAATTCAGCAATCACATGGCAGTATTTGATGGTGAAGATGCGAAACAGATAAAGAAGCTGCATCTTTCCAATACTTTCGAGTACTGATGTATAAGCTGGTATGCATCTTTGGAAACATGCCATGAGGATGCCTTCGCAGTTTCACGGCTCCTTCTACAGTCAGAACATCAGCAGGGTGCTTCTCAAATGAAAGTCTGCATCTTAGCAAGAATGCATTTCTGGGCCGCCATGTCAAGCACTGCCAAAGGCCATCTCAATTTGAATTATCCTTTGTTTTGTGTCCTTCATTTAGCATGTTTTGAAGGCACTGAACTGGTCCAGTTTCATTATGTAATACAAGACAAAAAAAAATGATTGAAGATGAAGGCATTATGCTTTGTAAATTAACTGCCCATGATGTAAACCAATGGGAGACAACCGATAGTTGACATTCACTGTAATGCATTCATAGAAATTCAGTCAATATAAAGATGTTTAATGTATTTTTCCAAAATTAATTTTAATAGTCTTTTGTGCTGTGGCTGCAGGGGTGGCAATCGCAATGATGCAGACATGTGGACTTGCTAGACCATCTCATTTTAGCGTTCAGTGCTGAGAAGGAGCCTAGAAAGCTCACTGGGATGCAGCCTTCTGTTTGAGAAGCACCCAACGTCTGGGTCTTCACACCATGACTTACAACAATTTACAACAATGCCAATCATTTTAGAGGCTTCCATAAGCCTGTGGGTCAAATCCAAAATAAGCCAGTAGTTGTTTGCCATTATTACCACTTTGTTTAATGTTATGCAGTAATACTTATGTTATGTGCTTTTTGATTGACTTTATCTCTCTCTTCAGCTCAGGGGACAAAGAGTTTAGTTTGAACTCAGATCGGGGTTTATGTGATGACGTCACACTAGTGCACAACTACTGCTGAGATGAATATAGCAAAGCAGATAACAGGAACTTGACATTTGACTCGACACATGACAAAGAGCATGCAATCAACATAGAGAGACTAACCAGATGGGCGTATCTGAAGCGTGGTGTTCATTGATACATGTAAATATGCTTAGGATTGGTTTCACCAATACACATTCATGTGTGCACATATGCATACTCTGGTATAAAGTATTGTAATTAATTTTTAAACTCAATCATAAAGTGTTAACGTAAGTCTGTGGAAGACAAATCAGTGTGTTAGTAGTAGTTCAAGCTCAGGTCTAGTCACCAAAAGTAAGGAGTGATCCATGAGCCATCATCACCGAGTATGTTTACATGCACTTATCTGAGTGAATCCAGTTTGATTGCAGCTTTCGAAAGTAATATTGGTTACACTTTATTTTAAGGTGTCCTTGTTACACGTGTTACATGTACTTACTATTATAATAACAATTAATTATGCATAATTACATGCAAGTAACCCTAAGCCAAACTCTAACCATATACAGTAGTAAGTACATGTAGTTAATTAATATTACTCTGTACGTATATATGTATAATTACACTGTAACAAGGACACCTTAAAATAAAGTGTAACTAATATTTTTGAATATACCTAGGTTTTGCTATTCTGGTTAGATGCTTCTGTATTTCATTGGCTCTGTACTGTACTCTGCACAATGACAATAAAGTTGAATCTAATCTAATTACACAAAAATGTTGTGCTTTCATGCCAGGTGTGATCTGTTTGAAGCAGAATGCCTGACGTGCAGAGGTGGCATAAATCAGCTCAATTAACTAGAAATGTTTTACAATATTGTTCAAGGTTTGCTAAAAATGAATGCTTTCAGTATTATTTACTCATAAGGAACTACAATACTTAAAAACTTCTACAGTTTTACAGTCCAGTTCTGCATATACATACTTTACTATGCTATTCTATCAATTTAGTTTAATAATTACAATAGCTGGGTACTAACCCTGAACCTGCACGTTACGTCTGTGTAGTTACTAAATATGATCAAGCACTTTCCTGGGTAAGTACACTATTAGTGCACATAATGCAAAACAAGGTACAACCAAAAACCTGTATGATGTCGAAATGATTAAAATAGTTAAATTCATCGTTGAACTACATTCTTTATAGCATCTGTTTCCTCCACTAATGTCCTCCACATCAAATCTAAAATAAAAAGTCATTTCTTATGCAAGCTGCTTATTAGATTCATAATCAACAAGTCACCGAGTCAGTTGACTTGACCTCGAACCCAGCAGTAATATCCATCGCCTTCCAAGCAGAACCTAGTCTAAACGCCCTTCCTCCTTTACCTTGTAACTTTTCTTAGTTTTTCTGAGTTCATACTTTCTCTCCGCAGATTATACTTCCAGATCACCTGCATGAAATGACTTTGTCATAAGAGAATACAGATTTAATAATCTAAGACTTCATATTAGAAAATGTATAATGTAGAGGTATGTCCTCTTAAAACGTAATATATCAACATCTATGAGTTTATCAGTGTCACAGCACAGATTTGTAAAAAAACAAAACAAAAAAAAACTGGTTTGCATATTCAAACCAGCCAAGAGTTCAAGGAAGCATATTTGCATGGTTTCAGTGCTTCATGAGATCAAATCTTCAAAGCCACTATGCCATCTGTGGTCTGTGCTCCATAATCCGTAAAACCATATTGTATTTTATCATAAGTACTCTCAACATTGAAAGGATTCTATGTCAGCATGTTTCCGTCACTGCACCTCTCTCTTAACCCTGTGTGAGTGCACAGCCAACCACGTCCAAGTCAATTACACTATTGATAGACTGTCAACTGATCAGTGGAAAATACTACTATTTGTTTTGACTGTGCCCATATGCAAAAATTCTGGTCAGAAAATTAGCTATTGATTTAATCTAATGCTGCATGTGACTTCTCTTTTGTGCATTTTTTAATGTTTGATTACTCAAAAGACAGTGACGGAAAATATCATATAATTAATTTATGTTCTTGTGGGCAAAATACTATATATACCAATACAAATATAGTGGTGCTAAGTCTTTCTTTCCTGTCTTTAACTCTTTCCCCGCCAGCATTTTTGAAAAAAGTTGCCAGCCACCGCCAGAGATTTTGATGATTTTCACTAAAATTTGATGGCCTCCAGTATATTTTGCTGCATGAATATTTGAATATGCAATACACCGAAATGAAGATCAGAGCCTCTACTTTTATACAAAAAAAGCATTTTTTTTAATCAACACTTGAATATAGGTAGGTTTCATAAAAATGTCATAATGTTGAGTAAAAAGGTGAGAAAATCAAATTTTTTATCAAAAACTACATCTGGGTAATATTCAGTACGATTATCAAAGCATAAATCCAGTAAATCACTTCCATCAACACCTCCAAAGCTTGCACAGACATATACCACTTCCTAGATCAACATTTTACTCTGTAACATTATGCAGTTTTCATTTATATGCTGTCTATTGCTGATGATCGCATTATTTTTCATATGCATCTGTTTACACAAGAGATGGCTGGTTTCTCCGTCCTGTTCACCTGTGTTTTTGTTCGGGAGGTTTTGTACTTATCAGAAGATGTGTAATAGCGCCCCTGAGTGTATAACAGTGAAAACACGGAAAACTCGTCTTTGGCGGGGGAAGAGTTTTCTTGTAAAAGACGAGATAACTCGTCAATGGTGGGGAAAGAGTTAAGAATGATTTTGATGAGCTGTTAAAACTATCCAATACTCCCCAAATTCCAAAGCTCTAAAAAAAATGTTTACTTTTCCAACATTTGTGACCTCATAAAGCTTTTTTTTCTCCATCTCTGTTGACATGTATAAATATATATATGTATGTTTAGCTGTCACCCTGGTACTGATTTTGTTCTTTATTGAAATGAGAAGGTCATTTCTGAGTTTAATTATACACAAGTACAAATCTTCAATGACTTTACACCCAACTGAACTACAGCACAACCAGAGCTGAGAATTCAATCTTTTCAAGACTGTGAAGAATGAGCCATTCAAGGACTTCCTCATACCACCTGCAGGGCAACCCGCCGAGTGGTTTCACTGAATGCCTTTCTATTTACTGTATAGATAAAATCCAGATGGAAGTGAAGAGACAAACCATGTAAGTACGAAGGTCCACATGCGACAGAAACCCACACGAAGGTTCACTTATAACACGTTAGGTCAGCCTACAGTTCAGTCACACCCGACAGTGATGGAACACGGAGCAAGAGACGGCAGGCGGAGAAGTGGATCTAGGTGCAGGAAGTTTAATGAAAACAAAGTGAACAAAACACAAGGAGCAAAGAAGAAAACCACTGGCAGGCAAACGAACAACCATTACATTCAACAGCTGGCAAAGCTGAAGGGAAACACAAGGGCTATATAGGCTGTGTTTACACTTGGCATTAACATGCGATCACCGTGATCTGATCAAGCAGATCGGATCATCAGTCAATCAGGACACGGCACGTTTACACTTGGCAACATCAAGTGACTTCTCTATCTGGATAACCGATCAGATCTCTCTTTCCCACGCAATATTTAAATAAGTCTTACACCGGATGCAAGCGGCATGGTGCGACGCGACAAAATACTATCTACCAATTTGGAGTAGATGTCTAAGATGTTTAAACGGACAAACTATAGATGAAACCTGCTATGATTACCCTACTTTTAAAGCATATATTTGATTTAAACTATAGATCTACATAATATTCACATAGGGGACATATTGTATTAGCCCTACAGTTAAAGCATGAAATACTATTTAAACCTATAACATTTACCTATTTTATCTCACAATTCTGACTTTTTTTTCTTGCAAAAGCAAAGTTTATATCTCCTAGTTCGGACTTTATAACTTGATTCAACTCAACAATTGCGAGTTTGTCCATTCTGAGGAAAAACAGCCAGATGTGTGGGATTATAAACCCATGATTCTGAGCCGAGGGGAAAAGAGAGAATGACGAGTTGATTTTTCTTACCAGAATTGTGAGATATAATCTGGGGATTGCAAGGAAAAAGTCAGAATTTTGACACAAACTCAAAATTACTTTTTTTATTGTTTTATTCCCTGGCTTCTGTAGACTGCTATGTTAAAACTGCTATTTTCTGCCACCAGACAGGCTCCGCCCACACAAAAAACATCATCACTGTCTGCAAACACTGAGATTGGTCTATAGAACCCATTATAATATGCTGTCTTCAGTGGATGTGCAAATCCCCAACAGTAAACCTCATTCTGTTTATGACGTACTGACACATAGTTCAAATGCTTTGCAGCGGTCACATTGTCGTGTCCAGTGTAGACAGTATTGTATTAGCCCTACAGTTAAAGCATGAAATACTATTTAAACCTATAACATTTACCTATTTTATCTCACAATTCTGACTTTTTTTTCTTGCAAAAGCAAAGTTTATATCTCCTAGTTCGGACTTTATAACTTGATTCAACTCAACAATTGCGAGTTTGTCCATTCTGAGGAAACACAGCCAGATGTGTGGGATTACAAACCCATGATTCTGAGCCGAGGGGAAAAGAGAGAATGACGAGTTGATTTTTCTTACCAGAATTGTGAGATATAATCTGGGGATTGCAAGGAAAAAGTCAGAATTTTGACACAAACTCAAAATTACTTTTTTTATTGTTTTATTCCCTGGCTTCTGTAGACTGCTATGTTAAAACTGCTATTTTCTGCCACCAGACAGGCTCCGCCCACACAAAAAACATCATCACTGTCTGCAAACACTGAGATTGGTCTATAGAACCCATTATAATATGCTGTCTTCAGTGGATGTGCAAATCCCCAACAGTAAACCTCATTCTGTTTATGACGTACTGACACATAGTTCAAATGCTTTGCAGCGGTCACATTGTCGTGTCCAGTGTAGACAGCCTCACGCTGTTGTGGTGCGACAACTGCAG